AAGCGAATCGATTATAGTGACAATATACAAGAAGGGCAGTCGCACAGACTGTGCGAACCACAGGGGTATTAGCCTAACGCCAGTTGTGACAAGCTTACTGGCCTCGATTATCGTTCGTCGCCTCACTGCAGAACGGGAATCTCGGATTAGGGAAGAGCAGGCCGGTTTCCGCCCAGGACGTGGCTGTATAGACCATATATTTACTTTGCGGCAGGTGCTAGAGCAGCGCCACGCATACCGCAGACCGACAATAGCTGTGTTCCTCGATTTCAAGAGTGCGTTCGATTCAGTCGATCGATCGATTCTGTTCGAAATACTTGCGCGGAAAGGTGTTCCCACGAAATATGTGAACATCCTTCGTGCTCTATACTCGAACACTACAGGCCGCGTCAGGGTCTATGGTGCCCTATCGGATAGCTTTTCGACTACAAGTGGCGTTCGACAGGGTTGCCCGATTTCCCCGTTTTTGTTTAATTTCGTCGTGGATTCTATCATGGAGTGTTCCCTTGCGGAATCTCACGATGTAGGCGTTGAAGTGCTGCCTGGTGAAAGGTTAGTTGATCTAGATTATGCGGACAATATCGTCTTGCTTTTCGACAATGTTGAGGCGGCACAATCAACCCTGAATAGCCTATCCAGAGTGGTCCCATTATTTGGTATGCACTTCGCACCTTCAAAGTGCAAAGTGTTGCTGCAGGACCACTAGCCACTCGATGACCCCTTGACGCTTGCTAACGAGGAACTCGAGGTGGTTGATCAATTCACTTATCTTGGCAGCTGCATCAGCAATGATAAGCGCATATAAACTGACGTTAGCTCACGCATTTCAAAGGCAAGAGCTGCTTTCTTGAACCTGCGTCATCTTTGGCGACAGAAGGGAGTTTCTCTCCGTCTGAAAGGCCGTGTATACAAGGCCACAGTGTGGGCCGTTCTGCTCTATGGTAGTGAAACTTGGCCCCTTCGGTCTGAAGATCTGAGGCGCCTTCAAGTCTTTGATCATCGTTGTTTGCGAAGCATTGCTGGTGTCCGATGGCACCAGCGTGTCCGCAACGATGATGTGCGTAGGCGAGTACTAGGGGGTGATGATCATGCTAGCTCCCTAGAACAACAGATAGCACTGAATAAGTTACGTTGGCTCGGGCACGTGCTACGCATGCCTGGTCACTGCTTACCTAGGAGGGCCTTGTTCAGTCTACCAGGTGTCGGTTGGCGCAGGGCTCGAGGTGGGCAGAAGTTGACTTGGCAGCGGGAAATGAAGTCACTGACGACCAAACTGGGTGCCGTTGGTCCGTCTCGCCTTCCGGGTTGGAGTCCACGTGACTCACCTTATGCTTGGCTCGAGACTTTACAGGACATGGCTCGCAACCGACACCAGTGGCGCGTCTGTTGCCGTCTCCTAATCGGATTGTCTGTTTAAAGTGTGTTTGGTGCTGAGTTATCTGCGGCGTAATGGCTGATTATGACGCGGGGCAGTGAAAGCCGCAAGGAAGCTGTCTCGCCGATGCCGCCTTATCTTTGCACGATAGCCAGCTGTTTGTGATGGCATGTTGTTAACACAAAGTGTAGGCGCCTTGATCCTGAATGTTTGCTTAGGGCATTAAGGTTTTCAGGTAAGTCCCCCTTCTCTCCCTCTTCTTATTCTTTTTTTCATAGGTCCTCATGTTTGCATGGCAGCGAAGCATCAGTTTAAATGGCTGATGTACTGCTGTTGATGATGATGATGATGATGATGATGATGATGATGATGATGATGATGATGATGATGATGATGATGATGATGATGATGATGATGATGATGATGATGATGATGATGATGATGATGATGATGATGATGATGATGATGATGATGATGATGATGATGATGATGATGATGATGATGATGATGATGATGATGATGATGATGATGATGATGATGATGATGATGATGATGATGATGATGATGATGATGATGATGATGATGATGATGATGATGATGATGATGATGATGATGAAAGTGTCCGAGGCGTTTTCTGGGGGCTTTCGGTTAATAATGTCCGAAATACCTCCTTAACAAGCGCAGATAACACGTAGTGCTTGACCGTATAACTTTATCATCCTATTCCCCAGGATATTCCGCATAACGTACATAGCTAAACATTAGAGCCACATGGTCAATGTAACCCAGTGGTGTGCTTGTAATTATTCCGACTACCATGAGTTCTTCGTTGATGAACGCAAGATCAATTATCGACGGCTTGTTAGCAGTTCAAAATCTGGTGCCAGAGTTCACGTGATTGTACAGAGGGCAGCTGGAATTTACCTCCTGTAAACAGACTGTAACTGCGTGCAATCGGTCGCTGCTATTTCTAGTTCGTGCACCTTCAGTTTGCCTGCGATGCGAATGTGACGGTATGTCTTAGTCAAACAACCTGAAGGACGTGGTATAATTTGAAGTTCATTGCACATGTAGAGTTGGGTGACGGTGAATTACAGCTATAAGACATGTGTTTTGTTCCGCAACCATAGCCGGCACCAAAGCGACTCTAGGGTACAGATATCTGGGTGGTCAATAATTTCACATCAGAGGTTAGTCTTGCAATACAGAAGTACGCCACCACCTCTTCCAGCTCCGTCATTCCGAAGCGGTGACATACCAGGTAACTTGACTTCAGAATCTATTAGCTCAAGGCTTATCCAGTTCACCTTAATCACAATGAGATCCCGCGGTCGTGAATTCTGACGTTCTCTAAGTTCAGCCAATTTAGTAAGAATACCTTGCGCTTGAGTATACGAACATGATAGTGTTTTTGATGTTAGAAGTATGTAAGTATAAAACAAATTCGTGATTAGCTTTAAGCCGACCGTTCGTTGGTCAGCCGCTAATCGTTTTATGCTTGGGTCATTGGTTCTTGAGTTTCAGTCAGGCTGCCCGGTAGCATGGCGTTTCCCAGGTCTAGATGTTCTCTCCTGTGTCTCTCTATCCCGTCAGACGTCGCTAATGCCATATTGTCTACAATTCTGCTAGATTGTGGAGGCAAATATTTTACTGAGTTTGTATGTTCCAATGAAGTGCTGATAACTAGTGGCCCAGCGCGTGCTATCTTTAGCTTAATCTCGATAGACAACCTGGAGTGATATTTCAACCAGCTATCTAATAGGACTTCTGTCGTTCGTTCGGAGTGTAGCACGCCTTTCAATATCTTTGGACTGCAGCCATTGTAGTTTGGAGATAAAGAAATTCTCGTTAGTGATTTAGAGATAACGTGGTCTAGAGAGAGTGATTCGCGGATTTAAAGCCACTGCTCTCGTTCATGTTTTTGCGCTTCCTGCTCAGGTGAGCCTAGTAGTTCAGGAACACCATGAATAAATACGACTTTTTGCTTTCGTTCCTGGAAGAGCCGCCATGATTTTCTTTTTCCTTCTACCGTCCTTTCCAAGAAATTTCGGATAGTATGCGTACCTCGTTCGATGAGTTGCGAAGAGGAACTGCTGTGAGTAGGACTAACACTGTCTCCTCAGTTGAATTCAATGTTACACGAAGAAATCGAGGTTCGCCGTAGTGCACTGAATTTGGAAGACGCGCTACGCTTTTTAGCGTAGTTGGGTCAACCCGAACACCAATTGCATCGCAGATGGAACGACACTGATTACGATCATCTACCAACTTGCCCTTTATTGTGCCAGAACTGTACTAAGGAACGTTAGTGAACACGACCGTTAACGCAATGTGGTTCGGTTTGGCGAACGTTAGTTTGAGTGCTCTGGCTGTTAACTTGGATTGTTTGGTGGGCAATAAAGAAGGTTTTGAAAACGGTGTCGCATTGCTTGTGCTTCGTCCAGAAAATAAACGTATGGGTGTACCCTTAGGATTTTTTTATCGAGGTGATAGATGCTTTTGTTACTCTGCTCTGGGCTGTCTGTGTCGGTGTTTTGACCAACTCGTGAGATAGGGCATCTAGGGATGAGTTAATGGCAGTCACGCTGGATGTGTCTTGCCTACTTAAAGGGTTATTAATTGTTAGAGTAGGTGGCGCAGATGCCGTCGGGCAGTTAGCAAGTCTGACTTTAGCCTTTGATTTAGGGATAGAGCTCTGAGGGATTTGCTGTAGACCTAGATCGTGTTGTTAGATACTAATAGCAAAGCTCTGAAGCGCGCCATCTGCTGGACTGTGGCAGTCAGATTTTCCCACTTCTTCATTTGCGATATTGCACATCTGACTATTGGGATTGCTCTGCATGGTTGGCACAACCAGATCGAATCAGTCAGGTTGATTTGGCTCTTGTAGTCTAGTTGACTTAGAGCAACACAAAGGAGATGGAACAAAAGGCCCCAGAATTCGCAAATAATGTCTCGCTTTACTGATCGTATACACTCCTGCTTACAACATTTTCGGTCAGGTGAAATCAATTCAACTGTGGACCGTTGTTGCAAACGCACGCTGCTCTTGTCTGGTCTCGTTAAGTGAAGAGCGAGTGAAACTCGCTTCTTTGTCCCAGTCGCAACCTCGACGTCGGTTGCCGTAGGCGAATGTGCACGACGAGGACCCAAGTACACGGAGTTTGGCTAGCTAAGTTAGCCACACTGGTTCCTATAGAACGAAGCCGTTGGAGGTGGCTTGCAGTGGGTGGCTGACAGCGGAATGTGCCGGCGATATGCGAATACAATCGAAAGCACAGATTGAGTCGCAGCTTCCTTAGAAATGAATCCTATGGATGTAATTCTAGGACACCAGATAGCGCAGAATATCCTTGATCAGTGAAAACTGTTCACCATGCGCCCCGCGACCGCGTACAGGTAACGCGGCCCCACCGCGCGCTACACACCACTTTGGTACGCCCATCCCTTTCCGTGGGAACATACTTCGTTATACTAAGCTCACGGTGACCACTATGATAGTTTATTCCGATTAATATCTGACAGAGAGACAGTCAATACAGACCGCGCACTGTATCCGCGTACTCCTTCCACGCACAGTGACCCTCGGTGGTGCCCGAATCCACTATCGCCCCGGTACCGGATTATGCCCTCCACCAGAACCCAGGTCCCCGCAACCTACAGCTTGGACAGCAGCTGCTGCGCACACTTAGCCAGCCCGCCATTCATAGCGCCCACCGCTTATACTCATCACAAACTGCACGGAGAAACCCGTTCCTCAAGCCGAGATGCGCCAAAGGAACCAGCAACTTCCGGCCTACACACCATCCCGCTACGGCTCAAAAACCCACCCACACGACGCATACACTCCAAGGAACACAATCCATCGCAAGTATGCGCTCCCACGGCGAACGGCTTCCCTGCGACCACTGAAACCCCCTCCCTGGATCGCGTATTCGTCTGCCCCAGTTCAACCCTCAACAACCCCGAATCCCCCTTAAAAGTTGATCCGCCCCCGACGTGCCGCAATAGGCGCATGCCCGTCCTCCCCCTTCTCAGCAGAGGCCGCGTTCCGGTCTCCCCCCTCATTGGTTGACACAAAACGACCTATGTACCTCCCCCGGGATCATTCTTATACCGCCTACCACTCGTGTCCTGACACATTTCCTTCGCTGCCCGCAACCTCCACCGCTGCCCCCTCCGTTATCTCCAAAGTCCTATCTGCGAGGAGTCAACCCGTACTAACCCAACTCTCACCTCCCACTCTGACCAGCGTAACCCCCGCAGCCAATATCAAATCACAGAATAAGCGGCAACAATTAAGAACCCAACTATAAGAGCCGTTAGGGGTTGGATGCAAATTAATAATACAAACCAGCAGCAGTCACTCCACACACCAATGTATATACATACCGAAGCCACCTGCTGCCCCACCATCAATCAGGCCCGCTATGGCAGACACAACCATAGGCGAATTCTGCAACCGTCCTTCCCCCTCTTTCCAGCTGGCCATTTGCCATTCCCTTCAATTCGAGGCGCGTTGAACAGGATAGCGTGTGGCGGCACCACCGTTAATACGGCCGTAAAAGCCGAACAGTCGTCAACGGAACACCTACAGACACAACCCCGGATTCTGGCTACTTTCGCAGCTGCACGGTAGCATGCAATATAAGCCGTTCATGTCAGCAGACCGACCCAACCCCCCGCTATAACTACAAATTCTTCGCAAAGCCGCAACAGCTGTCCCAGAGCCCGGGAAGATACTGGAAACAAGCCACAACAATCACACGTCCCCCTGCATTGACGACGCACACAAAAGGGTCACCGCACCAATCCTTACACACCCTCAGGACCAAAATACACCATGAAACTATGGACCAAAGGTCCCCCGTGAACCGTTCGCGACCGCCGTCTCCCCCAGCAGCTCAATTTTATTACTTCCCCGGCCACCATTGAACTGGGCAGCCTAAGACGTTCTCTCCACAGATCTGTGCATCAGCCCGCCGCCCATAAACCCCCCAACCGGAATCCATGTACCCCCTTCAACACCTAAGATCAAGCTCCCTAGTAAAACCCGAACACACCGAGCAATCATATGCTCACCCCCTGTGAAGGGGGGCGGAATATATATGGCCCACTAAGCACCGGAAGTCCTCCCCTCCACCCCACTCGCGCCCATCCGTCCCCGGCCTACTGTATAGCGCATTACTAGCCCGTGTGTATAGCGCCAGATCCCCCGGCTAATCACCGACCCCTGCATTGGAACGGCAAGACACCCTATTACCTCCCGCTCTGACATATTGTGCACGTATTTGCAAACCCACCCAACGCAGATCTGGATCATGGGATATAGCGGAGTCTTGTGTAGCCATTCATGATTTATGAGTCCGCTTTAGTGGTCGTAAAGGCAGCCTTCGGCTCTCTTCTTCGGTTTTTTTTTATTTCGGCATAAGCTGTGGTTTGATTTTTTTCGCATAACTCACTTCACTCTCCGTTCCACTGTTGGTCAGCTTCCGGATGGGAGTTATATTTTTTAGCATACTTATTATACCGGCCACGGCTCAACTCCAACTCTCCACGTCCAGCATCAGTCGTCATACCCGATCTAGATTGCTCATCCACCCGGTTGGTGGACTCATTCTCTCACAGGCATTCGCATTAGACATTTCAACGGGCTTCATGTCTTTATTTTCCCTCGGAGTGTCAGAACGAGCCCCTCATGAACAAATTACTATCCGATTTTTTCGGGGGCGACTGAGGTTTCTCGCTCGGGCGTTTGTGCTTTAGATGTTCACTTGTAGGCCAGACGCATCCCATTGCCCTCAGAGTGTCCCGCCAACTCCCCGACAGTATTCCCTGCTATGGCATCGCGCGTGGACCCTATACATTGCCATCGTCTGCTACACCCTGAGCTACAGCTCATAAGGGAATTCTACATACCAGTGATTTGCAGTAATCACTTCTACACAATACTTGGCTCGAGACGTTCAAGACCAGACGGTGGCGAAGGTAGCGCAACCGACCGCCCGCGTCCCCCCCGAAAAAGGTGGGGGTTGGGGTTCTGCCCCGCCCGAGACCCCCTCCGGTAAACAAGTAGTCACCGCCGCCACCACCCCCCCCCCCGGTTTTTTTTGATCCGACCCCCCCCCCTCCCCAGTACCCACCTACCCCAGTCACCCGCTTCGGGAACCAAAAATAAAAACATCTACACCCCACGTGCCCGTAACATCGGTTCGCGACACGTCAAAGCCGCTCGTGAACGGAGTGCTTCAACGGCCCCAACGCAATCGAATACCGTTTCGGCCACATCTTCTGACGTCCCGGCAGCGGTCAGTAGATATACCCACTGCGTCACCTGCTTCATTCAGTGTGCTTAGGATATCTCTGCACCGTCCTCAAATCACCGTTCTTTTTCTAACTAGCGCGACTTGGCTAACCCAGTCTGTCGGCTCGACGACCTTAGCAGTTATGCCCAATTGCGTTAAGTTAATTCGGTGGCCAAATTATCACGTAAAACAAACGAAATCCTTCAGGCCGACAGCGCAGTCGTTTGTATATTTGGATCTATCGACAAGTGAACAGAACCTTCAAGCCTCTTCAAAACTGGGCAAACCAAGGACGGATATTGCCCACTACTATCTGTCTCCGCTCGACAAGTATGAACAAAACCATCATGGTTAAAATAAACAAGGCCAAGACACTGGATGGAATCAATGCCAAGAATCGTCTGTGAGATCTTCTTCCACGACCACGACATTCTGCTGATGTGAGGATCCGTCTTTGGGTGAGATCACTTCGATTGTGGCCATGCCCTTCACCTGGACTTTGGAACCATCCATATGCGCAAGAAGCCTTTAGCTGGTCGCATATGAATTCCTAAACACCGCTTCACGTATATGGTGTTGACGGTAACACCGGAGATTGACAGGAAGAGCACGATTGCGTCACCGACCAATAACTGATGTAGACGCACATTTTTTGTCCCGTTGGCGTGACACGTAGATGATAGAGTATTCAGCGTCGGAGGGTGCTGTGTCACGACTGAGTGGGTTCACTTTGGGAGACTGGCAACGTCGAGCGAAATGATTTCGTCCGTCACACTTGACACAAATTCGACTTCAGGCCGGACATTGGTCACTATTCTTCGGCTGTCGCGCAGAGAAGAATTTGCAAATTTCGTGTGTCTTGGTGGCAGGCTTCGCAATTTTGTAAAGTAAAATGGACACGGCACATAGCTCTGCATCGGATGGCAATCGCATTTGCTGGATGTTGCTTGTAGCTTACGATTCTCTAAGGCATATATCAAGGCTTTGCCTGAGTGGTTACTGTTGTTGCCGCAGGAGCTGCTTGGCAATGTTTCATCACTGATCGCGAGCATGATCCTATCTCGAATAAGATCACCTGTCACACAATTGCAAAAATTCAAGGAACGATGCGGAACCTTCAGCTCCGTAACACAGTGCTCGATAGATTCTTTCGAGTGCTTATTTTGAGTAAAAATACTGATAACGCTGATACGTCTCATTAGTCTGGCTCTCGCAGCAAGCGCCAAAGTTTCGGATAACAGTTGCCAGCTCAGCTGAGTTTTCGTCCTTTTCATACTTCATCGTTGCCAGGACGCGACGTGCTTCATCTAATGTATGTCGAAACCTCGCCAGGCGATACCCAGTAGTCGCAAAAATCGATTCACTTACTTTTCCAGATTATTTAGTTACTGGTCAAGTGTGTCCTTCCATGTTCAACGGGCCACGCGTTCGCACGGCTGGCTGCACTCCAATCAACAACTGAGCACTGTCCTGCAATCTTGCCTTGGTCTTCTCTGACACCATATCGCAATACTCGGGCCTTTAGGGACAAACGGTTTACTCAACAAAGCATGCTCATCGAAAGTGATAGCATGACATGCGTGTGGAGACTTCGACGTAAATAACTGGGTACTTTCCATAACTAACGAGGCTTCTGCATTTATGAGATTGTTACTGTGAATTGGTTAAACAAACCAGCTCCAGCGTAGCCAAATAAAAACCAAGCAGCGCGTCCGCGAATTATCCGTATGCTTCCAATCAACTGGTATGTTCGCTAACGGCAAGCGACCTGCTATTTCTTCTTGTAAATCCATATCATAGTTGTGCTTACACAATCCCATCAAAGTAAGCTGTCCCATTAGTACCTCCGACGACTCATGTAAAAGTTTTGGTGGAAGCAAATCATGCCCTCATTCTTGAGCAGGGTTTTATTTGGTTACAGATTAAAGTCGTGCCTTTCTATCACTCTAAGTTCAACTGGACCCAACCCTCTTGTACTCTGACAACCTATTTAGCGGTTGTTAAACGGTCACAAATAAGCCAATCTCCGATTACTGTCCACCACGTGCACTAGCACTGTCGCAGTCCAAATAGTTATGAGTTACATTGACTCGAGTCAATGATATAATTGCCGAATTCGAATCGAGGAGCATTTTGGCATCAGTAAAATAGTTTTCTGATTCTTTTAGGCTGTGCCACGTTACCTATTTCATACAACGGTTAAACTGTCCTCATGTGCTGGTTATTTCCATTACTTTCCTGGTGGTATCTATATTTTTTCTTTCTAGATGAATCGACTTAATAAGTCCCCATTCCTTAGACTGCTTCGTAAGCAGGTGACTGGCATAGGCAAGTATCTAGCGCGCTGTATGCTTGTCTACTTCCTACTTCGTAATTGTGGCCAGACGCAGGGCAGCTCCTTGATGCCTGTACTACCGCCGCCATTAACACTCAACATGCCGAACGGACCGGACCCGATCCGGCAGTAACGTCCCAGCACACCTGCAGCGTTAGACCTCTTATTAGGAATACCAGCGCTCCCCCCTATATCTTGTTGTGCTCCACAACCACCATTCCGATCACAATGAAGCTTAAGGGGACGTTGTCAAGTAACGTAGCGAAGCTTGCCGAGCATGTTGGAGGCAATTGGAACGCCAAGGGAGTATTGTTGCAGGTTTACCAAAGTAGGAAGCGAATACACAAGAGTGCACAGACAAGGTACAGGGCACAGGACTCACCAGCAGCAGATGTTTGCGTGAAACAAGTAACTTCCATGATCAGTATAAAATAA